AGGTTGAGTGAATCATTCATTGACTCGCTGCCACCTACTGGTTGGTGTGAGCATGAGACCTGCAGAACGAGGCACTGAAAAATCCCTACCACTGATGAACAGACTGGGAGCAGTTTTATACTAAGTTTATAAAAATGTGATTGCAGAATGCAGCAACGGATCATTTAAATATTCTAGAGAGTGTGTAATAAAAACCAGAAAACTGTTATCTAACAGCTGCTATAATCAGCCATGGTACCTCAGTGAACTTTAATCTTAGGTTTAGCTGATTAGTGGTGGACAAGGGTCATTATTACTATTGCTCATAACCAAACAAATCCCTCATCCTCAAGTACTAAACTTTGGCTCATAACCATGTGTTTATGCAACAGATATGAATGATACATACAGAGCAACTTTTATGTTTCTAACAACAATAACAAAACAAAAAAAGTCACAGAGACTCACTTTGAGAGAGGATTGTGGCTCATATCTAGAGACCAAAATAAATGTAACAGACACAAACTACTCAGAATACACGGGCAACGTATTGGCAACCACCTACAACGGCCTATCATCATGGTGGAGAGTTATGCACAAGAAGACAGAACTCATATTTTCTGCAAAACATGTGTATCTTGTTAAGCGTTAAGGCCCATTCACACCAACGATGATAACTATAGCAATAACTAAAGTTTTAATAATCGTTCTAATTCTGTGAGAATAATGTTCATACTACATCTATAACAACACAGAGGAACGTATAGAAGCCCGTTTTCGCCACAGAATCCAAAAATAAAAAAGGTGATTGAAACATTTTCTCTCATAATTCTGACTTTTTAAATATAAACTTGATATTCTGAGAAGAAAAGTAAGAATTGTGACAAAAAGTTTTGTATTTTCTATTCTGTGGCAGAAAGAATTCTGTGCATCTCACAATTCTAAATGTATATCTCACAAATTCCAACTTTTTTCACATACTTTTTCCTCATAATTTATTTCTCACAAATTCTGAATTTCCCCCCAGAATTCCCAGGTTTTATCCCAAATTTCTGACTTTTTTCTCAATCTTTTTTATCAGAATTTCGCGTTTATATCTTGCAAATTCTTACTTTTTTCCCTCAGAATTCTCGTTATATCCCACAATTCTGACTTGTTTCTCACAAAGTTTATATCTCTCAAATTCTGAAATTTTTCTCACAATTCTGACTTTTTTCTCAGAATTCTGAGTTTACATCTCACAAATTCCAACTTTTTTCTCATACTTCTGAATTTATTTCTCACAAATTCTGAATTTCCCTCAAGAATTCCCACTTTTTATCCCACAATCCTGTCTTTTTTTATCAGAATTTCGAGTTTATATCTGGCAAATTCTGACTTTTTTCCCTCAGAATTCTCAGGTTATATCCTACAATTCTGAGTTGTTTCTCACAAAGTTTATATCTCGCCAATTCAGACATTTTTCGCACAATTCTCAGTTTATCGCTCAAAATTCTGACTTCTGAGTTTATATCTCACAAATTCAATAATTTTTTCTCCGAATTCTCAGGTTTTATCTCAAACGTTTGACTTTTTTCCTCTGAATTCTGGGTTTATATCTCAAATTCTTTCTCTCGAGGTTCAGCATACACACCAAATGTAGCACTTAAATGGCAACAACTGGCTTCAATGTGACATACATGATGCTAACTAGTACCGTTTCCTCTCTGCAGGTTGACATCGAGGCAATAAAGGTTGAAATGAACAGAAAGCTACAGGAAGAACAGACCCTCCTTCATTAAAGCCGGACACGGCAGATCCAGCGAGCCTGAGAATTCCAGCTCACGGGTCCCACAGTCCCGCCACGAGGGTCCATTCATCCTTTAGACTGTCATGTGCCGCAACTAAAGTTTCCCTTCCAGCAAACACTCATCTCACCTTCTTCTAGGAATATTGTCTGATAATGCCGACAATGCAAAGCATGCAAACGGTTCATACTCTGTAACTCTGGCTTCAGTAGGCACGTGTGGGCATGGCACGGCTGGGAAGCGTGAAACAAACGGGATTCTCGGTTTATGATGGGACGGTTGTCGTGTGTATAAGAGAGATGTGCCTTTTAAAAGAAGCTGTGGCTCACATATGGAGTGATTTAACACTCTCAGACAAAATTGTATAGGGATTTAATTTGCTGCATCTCATTTCTCAGGATTTAATATATTTTTAATAGCTATTCCATTGTGTTGTGTAATATATGCATACACGTAGCTCATGTAGTGTAATTATTTTGGACATCTTCTAGCCTTCAGCCCAACCATTGTCTCAATATGCATAGATAAAACACAAGATCCCACAACAAGGTATGAATGTGCAATAACATTAGATATAGTTTTTCTTTGGGATGTCAGCAAAAGAAATATGTTTCAGATAAATACATTTGCATCAGCTAAATAAATTACTAGATGAAATATTTTTGCCTTTCGACATTATTAGTTTAGAAATTATATAACAGTTGTTTTATAATTGCAGAACCACTGGAAATATAAAGCTAAAATAGCAACACCAATGATTTTAGATAATGCATCCAAATGATTTGAATGTACACTACTGCTCAAAGTTTGGGGTCAGTAGTTTTTTTTTAAAGCTTTTAAAATAAGTTTATTAAAATACAGTCATAAACAGAAAAAAAACAGTAATATTGTTAAATATTATTACAATTTAAAATAAGTTTCCTGTGATATATTGTAAAATGCAATGTATTCCTGTGATGCAAAGCTGTATTTTCAGCATAATTTCTCCAGTCTTCGGTGTCACATGATCCTTCAGAAATCATAATATGCTGATTTGCTGCTCAAGAACATTTCTGATTATTACCGATGCTTTTCCTGCTTTATATTTTTGTGGAAATCACCTTTTTAATTTAGAATTCTCTGATAAATAGAAAATTCCAAAGAACATTCATTTGAAATGTAATGTTTTGTAACAAATGTCTTTACTGTAACATGATTTGATGCATCTTTGCTGAAAAAAAAATATATATATAGACCCCAAACTTTATAGCTATATTAAATTTCTCATAAATATTACTCAAATTCAGTAATACTATATTAAGGTTTATGTTAGCAGGTGCAATGGCTAACAATAATTTCACAGCATTTCTTATGGTTTCTGTTTCTTATGGCTTTAATGAAACGTAGGAGATTTTTTAAATTCAATTTTTCACTCAATCTGTTATGCTAATATTTCATACCCCACTGTATATATTCAATTTGATTCCTTCACCTACACACACTGCCATAATTACATCTTGCATCTCAATAGCTGTCAGTTGTTTTTGAGCAAACACACAGACCACACATCTAGATTTATGTTTTTATTTTCATTTAGATATGCATTTACACGCATATTATAAAGCAAATATACAAATAACAAGCTGTTTTGAACAAGTTAGAAATCAATCGGCCCTAGCCTCTGAAATAATATTCGTACAGATATGGGCAGGCTCAAAACATAAGAAAAAAAACACACTAAAGAAATGGAAGGAACAAAAACAAAAAAACAAAGCAGCTTGTGGCATTGGATCAGTCCCGAGAGATCACTGAGCAGCACCAGAACGCCAGCGAGAGAGACCAACAGAAATGAAGCCAATGAACAGTGCAAACACACGAGTGTGAGAGTGTTGAAGTGTGCAGGAGTCGTCGTCGTCAGAGAGCCTGAGTGCTGTCTTTGGTAAGCGGTCGGATGTGTCGTCCCAGGCACGCTAGGAAATGATGCTACGCCGCCTCGCTAACATTCAACGCAGCCTCGTCCAGTACTTTTGAATTCATAAGACACAAACCGGAAAACAAATGTGGTTCATCTATGATCCAAAAGGCACCATGAGTCAATACAGATGAAAAAAAATAAATCACTTAATCAGTTGAAACAACCTGAATGTGATTACCATCATAGCCTTTACAATGAAAGTAGTTGAATTTTCTTGTTTTAAACAGGATGCAGATCTTTCTGATTCATGGACGACTTATTCTTTTTTAAACAGCCAGACTCGCTTCCTCCCATGAAAGGGTTTGGTCAAGTTCCCAGTCCTACCAGCAGGGGGCGCGACACGGCTTCGTCCAGCTCTTCACCGAAGCAGTGGCTTCAACACATCTACTTTTCCCAAAAATGGAAAATACCAGGTGACACCAGACGAGAGAAACGAAAAGTAGCCCAAGAAACTAAAACTATTGCCTGGTCCCTCATGAGCTCATCTTGTAGGAACATCTCGATAAGGGCATCGGATCCCTCCAGACTTCCTCGTTGCCAGACTCCTCCAACTAAAGCTATATGCTGGCTAACAGAATATATGTGTGTACACGTGTAGTGAAGGTGCTCTGAACGCGTCATGGTCACATTTCAGTCCAAAATTACATTTAAAGAAAATGAAACGATATTTGTAGAAACGATAAGATTTGTGACATTTTCATGAAAGTTAAGCACATTTTCCCTCCCAATTCGAATGACTATTGCTGGAAAAAAAATCTTATTACTGTAATGCAAAAATTATATACATTTAAATAATGGTAGCATTTGTACTGCTGATTTATTTTTATTTTTTTTAACAGTAATACAGAAATAAAATACTGTTTTATAGTATTAAGAATCTAGTAAGAATAATCAAGAATTACAAAAACTATACTACAATAAAGAGAAAGAGGGAGAAAAATGTGCTTAAACCCACCCAAAAATGAGAATTCAGTCATCATTTACTCATCCTCATGTTGTTCCAAACCAATTCGAGTTCATAAAAGATATTTTGAAGAATGTTGGTAACCAAACCATTTTGGTTCCCATTGGCTTCAATTGCATTTTCAAAATATATCTTCAAAATCTTCTTTTATGTTCCACTAAGAAACACAGGTTTGAAACCGCATGAGGGTGAATGATGACAATGTTCATTTTTGGGTGAACTATCCCTTTAATTAACATGAAAATGTCACAAATCAAACTCATCCTAAACGGAGGCTTCATTTCCAGTATACAAGGAATGATATTTCTCTTCTTTCCTTTTAATTTTGGGGTTGAAAAACGAGCTGGACACGTCTCACTCCTCGCCGGTGAGGTTCTTCATCTCAGCGACACTGAACACTGAAACAGAGGCATGTGTGATTGACAGCTACATCAGCATCTTCAGTCTCTGTGCATCACTTCCCGCCTTACATTCATCTGTTGCCTTTCTGAATCTTATCCAAGCTTCGGTCCAACTGTAAGCGCTGACCGAGTGTCGGTCAAACGGTAACCTTTGATCACAGCGATCTTTCTGAAACCTTGAGCCTTTTCCTCCTGCCCTTCCTTCTCTAACGTTCAAAAAAAAACAAAACAAAACAATTGACCAACCGGGATGTTAAACCTCCATGAAACGAGCTTTGAAATCTTCAGTTCAGTGTGCAATCCTTGGTAATGAAGGTTAGCTGTGAAAGCTAGCATGTGTGTCTGCTTATATCTCTGTTTGAACGCAGGCGTTACGCACAGGACTAGTCGGCTGAGGAAGGTTATTGCGTTCTTTAGGCGAGCTCTGGCCCGCGGCAGCCGCGCATATTAAACTCACATTCTCCTCCGCAATGTAGCATAGCGGGCGCTCTGCCGGCCCGTCAGGTGTCAGAGGGGCGACCGCAGCTTGCGGAACGGGACAGTTCTCCAGCCGGTCGTTCTCGACCTCTGGAAGTGGGCTGACCGCTCCGCCCGTGTTGGGTTGTCGGACGTGAGACTCAAAGCAGGGCGGTCTGCAGGCATCCAGGTCGGAGCAGCTGAACTCTGAGAAGTGGCTGGAGTGTGAGTCGGCCACAGACGGCAGGCTGCCGCTCAGAGAGGGCGAGTCTAACTCGCTGGAGTTGGTGCTGCGGCGCTCCAGCAGCTGGGCGTCCATGTCTTCTCGCGTTTCGTTGATCTTGGTTCCGCCGCTCTTTTTGCGCAGCTTACCTTTGCACTTCTTGCCGGAGGAGGAGGAAGAGGTGGAGGACGGCTCCTTGGCCCAGCGAGAGGTAACGCACTTGCCCTCGTGGGGACAGCCGGCGGGGCAAACGCCGGGTCAGAGAGGGCGAGTCTAACTCGCTGGAGTTGGTGCTGCGGCGCTCCAGCAGCTGGGCGTCCATGTCTTCTCGCGTTTCGTTGATCTTGGTTCCGCCGCTCTTTTTGCGCAGCTTACCTTTGCACTTCTTGCCGGAGGAGGAGGAAGAGGTGGAGGACGGCTCCTTGGCCCAGCGAGAGGTAACGCACTTGCCCTCGTGGGGACAGCCGGCGGGGCAAACGCCGGGCCCGTGTCCTCCGCTGCTGCCGTCGTCCATACTGCTGCTGCCACTGTGGTGCCTGAGCTTCCCTCGCTTGGACTCCACATTCACCTGCACCTCCATACTGTTCCCATCCCTGCTGCACAAAAACGTCTGCTGTTAATGACAGCTCAAGCTCCATCACTGAGCCACCTCACATTCTTTTGGACAAATGTGACCCTGGAGCACAAAACCAGTCTCAAGTCGCTAGGGTATATTTGTAGCAATAGCCAACAATACATTGTATGGTTCAAAATGATCGATTTTTCTTTTATGCCAAAAATCATTAGGATATTAAGTAGAGATCATGTACCATGAAGATATTTTGTAAATTTCCTTCTGTAAATATATCAAAACTTAATTTTTGATTAGTAATATGCATAGCTAAGGACTTCATTTAGACAACTTTAAAGGCAATTTTCTCAATATTTTGATGTTTTTGCACCCTCCGAGTCCAGATTTTCAAATAGTTGCATCTCGGCCAAATAGTGTCCTTTCCTAACAATACATCCAACCATACATCAATGGAAAGCTCATTTATTCAGCTTTCAGATGATGTATAAATCTCATTTCTCAAAACATTGACCCTTATGACTGGTTTTGTGGTCCAGGGTCACATATGAACACAGACCTGTCCAGAGGCAGGTAGGCATTGAGAATGGATCCAGCCATTGCTTTGGTACTAGCGTTGTCGCTGATTGTCCCCAGACTGACGGTGCCGGACTCCCCGCTCAGACTGCAACGCTCCTTTTGGACATCAGCTTGAACTTCCAACCTGAGAAACACAAACAGCACATTTAAAGGAGTCATGTGATGTGATTTCAGGTTTTCCTTTGTCTTTGGAGTGTTACAAGCTGTTTGTGCATACAGTATACAAGATCTGTAAAGTTGCAAAGACTAAAGTCTCAAACCCAAAGAGATATTCTTTATAAAAGTTAAGAGTCAGCCATGCCTACCTAAAACGGCTCGTTCTAACACGCCCCCACATGTCTACGTCACTATGTGGGAAGATTTGCATAACGCCGCCCAAATGTTCACACAAAGAAAGGCGTAACTTATATTCTCGCTGTAGTATTGTTGTTGCCGCCACCATGTCGTGGAGACGCTGTTTCCAAATATGGTGAGGGGCGTAACATTTCCGTCACACGCTTGAGGTATTCGGCCAATCACAATGCACTGGATAGCTGGCCAACCAGAGCAGAGCTTTTCAGATCGATGAGCTTTGTAAAAATCAACACGTTTCAGAAAGTCAGAGCAGAGAGGAGAAACAATAATGTACAGTATGTGGAAAATAATGTGTTTTTTTAACATTAAACCGCATAAACGCATTGCATTACACCAAATACACAAAATAATGTTCTTTTTAGCAGCATCATATGACCCCTTTACGGTCTGTTAACTAATCCAAATGTCTACATGAATTTTCACATGCAATTTGTCTGTTCAGACCATTGCGTGAAAACAGTAGGCTTTAGATTATTTTTGGAAAAACTGAAATACCCCTGTTAGTCTGCTACACAAAAGTATTTTTTTTTTCTATTTTCCATTTCTGAGACCTGCTGAGAAGTCCAATCGTATTTACAGGTTTTCAAACAGCTGTTGAGACTTTTGTATTCACTATGGTGGTTATCAAACAACTAGTGGTTGACCAATATAATCGCAAAGGCTGAAATTTATTTTAATTAATTTTTTTAATTACCAGGCAGTAAGATTTACTGTTAAGTCCATAAGTGTTGGAAGCTGCCTAATAACTGAAAGGCAAACGATATACTACTTTATTTGATCATTTAGTTTAGGGACCAATTTTCAAATACGCAAGTCTTTGAATATCTAACAAATATTTAGGCCCGGTTTCACAGACAGGGTTTAGGATTAAGCCAGGATTAAGCCATAGTTCAATAAAGCAATAAGCCCCAAGAAGCCATGGTTTAAAGTGAATTTACAGCTAGAATACAGCTTCACGTCGTGCCTAACAGCGCTCCTTAGCTGTTATAAATTCACTGAAAATTGACAGAAAGGCTTATTGTTTTAATAAAACGGTTATTCCATATACGTAGTAACGTTTCACAAAATAAAACAGCAAATAAAGTGTAATGATAATAAAAACATTCTTCTTCTGCCAAACAATGTAGTTCCTCAGAATCAGTTGTGGTTCCAACAAAGTAATTGCCGAGCAACACACAGAAGTAAACAAAGGTGTGTGTTTGTAGAGTAATTTACAGCAGCTTCGAATGCGGCTCAGCCAATCAGAATCAAGGACCGGAACTATCGGTTTTATAATTAAAACATTTAAGTAGCTTTTATAAACGTGCCTTAGAAAAAAACATTACTGGTGTGCTTTACTGGTCTTGAGACGAAACAATGACACTTACATATTTTAAGATTTTAGACTGGGACTAGGCTTAAGCCTTATTTGTGAAACCGGGGGGAAATGTGACATCTCACAAATCAGCTGTTAGATCTCCTTGTGTGCTTAGCCTGCATAGAATGTGTCTACTCTTTATGTAACGGACAGTCCATGTGAATGATCTTCCATCTTCCTAAATACTGTGTTCACGAGCCCCACCAGGTCATGGTTTTATATAATAGCAGAGGTTCTGGGCATGAGACCAGAAGCATGAATCCTATTGGCTGGCTAGTTTTCTTGCAGTGCGATGGAAAAGACATTAAAACGCCGCTATGTTAAAGAAAATCTGTTGCCTTGGCCAGTATTTCTCAGCCCTGTTGCTTTTACTTTTTGCATGTCTCTTCATTCAAACACACCTGATTCAGGTCATCAGCTCATTAGTAGAGTCCAAGACCTGAAATGGGTGTGTGAGAGGACACGCTCAACATGTGCAGTGTTGGGGGCCCCAGAAACACAAATGCGAATGTTCATGTCAGTCAGAACAGCCATTTGTTCAAATTAAAATGTTAATCGATCTTTTGGGATTCTGGCAGATGCTTTGCATTTTGAATTTTGTAGTATGTCCACATAGTCACGTCACACTACATAGGGATGCACGATATTAGATTTTTGCAGATATGCCGATATTTTTCGAATCATTTTGGCCGATAGCCGATGCCGATATACATTTCCCTTTGTTTTGAAACAACACCAAGTCTCTCCAGTGCAGAAAATATAAATTATTTTTAATTTTGGTTAGTTTTGAGCAAAAACTTATTTGTTAGAAGTATTAAACATTATTAAAGTTCTTTTTTAATGAGAGTACATTAAAAGTCGTGAAAATAACTAATAAAATAAATCTCTGCTGTTTTTTTTTTCTCAGACAGATGTAGTTGCAACCTTAAGATTTTATTTGTGGATTTATCAGTAATAGATGGTCTAAAGCAAAAGAGCTGTAAAAATGCTAAAAATCTTTTACAGCACCTTGTATTTAAGTTTTCATAATCCATGTGAAAAAATATATGACATATTAATGAATAAATCTGTAAATTTAATTTACAAGTGTCATGTTTGTGATTTGTATTCATGTAAGCAATAAGACCTTTAAATCAAAACAGACTCGTGATTTTATGACATCGACATTCAGGGTGTGAACTACGGGGGAGCTCGGCTCCCCTTAATAAGGCATGGGCTCCCCTGAAAACATGATTTGTGAAAGGGTCATTACAGCAGTTCATAAAAATGTGAAGCATTCTGGGGGAAAAAAACAAAAGCAAAAAAACAATCAGTAGTACTGTTCCAGTGTTTGGTTTTTGAGATTTGCACTACAAGCCTGATTAGGGCTCTACAAAACATACCGTGCCTTTTAAAAAAGTATCTTATGCTCACCAAGGCTGCGTTTATTTGATGAAAAATACAGTAAAAACATTGAACTATTTCTAAAATTTAAAAAGGGCGGTTTTCTATGTGCATATATTTTAAAAAGTCATTTATTATTGTGATGCAAAGCTGAAAGGATCAGGGTCACATGATCCTTCAGAAATCATTCTAATATGCTGATTTGCTCCTCAATAAACATTTCTGATTATTATCAATGTTGAAAACGGTTGTTAATGAAAAACTGTATTATTATTAGAAGTCGCTTTTTACTGGTTTACCTGTGTCTGATGATTGGCCCTCAAACAAAAAGACTTCCAGGACAACACAAAACCCTGTTTCACAGATTTAGCATGCAAACAAATATCTTCTTGATATGACGAGCCATTTATCAATTTCCAGAAATATCTCTCTCATCACCCATCAAAGCATACCTCAACATATATAACTGCAACCAAACCTGCCATGACATTTAGACTAGTTCTCGTTTCCTACACTGATGTTTTGACACGTGTTTAAAAAGTACCTAACAAAAAGTACCTAATTTCTCTATGTATCTGGGGAAAGCTCTTTGTTATGCACACAAATATACACATCCTCCAAAGTGACAGGTGTAATAGCGCCTACTAAAAAAAACAAACAAGTGCACACAATAACCAAGGAAGCCAAGAGAAAATAGGCAGCTCAAAAGGTTGTGTTATCATTGAAACACAGGGCACAGCTGGGTGCAGATCTGTGCAGAGATGAGTACATAGCATGACAAGATCTGACACTGAAGACTGGAGTAATGATGCTGAAAATACAGCTTTGCATCACAGGAATAAATGACATTTTAACATTTAAATAGAAAGCAGTTAATTTCAATTGCAATAATATTTCTGCTTTTACGGTATTTATTAAAATATGCAGCCAGACTTCTTTCAAAAACATTTTAAAAAATCTTACCTATCCCAAACTTTTGAAGAATAGTGTAAATGCACGTAAAATTCGATTTCAATTGGACAAAAACTTAAAAAAACTTTTATATATCATGTGCACACTTTAGTCTGACTTAAATTTCAATTACGTATCAGGTTTACTCTGACAAACCGATTAAAACTGTAGCTTTCAATTGATCAAAAGTGACAGTAAAGACATTTATAATGTTACAAAAGATTTCTATTTCAAAGTGCTTTTCTTTTAAACTTTTTCATCTAAGCATTCTGAGAAAGAAGAAAAAAAAAAGTATAATGGTTTCTACAAAAATGTAGAATTCACAACTGATTTCAACATTGATAACCAGAAATGTTTCTTGAGCAGCAAATCAGCATATCAGAATGATTTCTGAAGATCATGTGACACTGAAGACTGGAGTATTGATGCTGAAAATTCAGCTTTGATCACAGGAATAAATTACATTTTACAATATATTCAAATAGAAAACAATTAATTTAAAATGTAATAATTTTCACAACATTGCTGTTTTTATTGTGTTTTTGATCAAATGAATGCAGCATAAGAGATGGCTTTCATGTTTGTTTGTTTTAATGCCATGCCAGCTTCTGTGGCTATTTTCATGGCAAGACAAATGTAACAAATTGTATTAGGTTTTTAAAATGTATTTTCACTAAAAACGAGATGGCTTTCATAAACGGTTTTCTTAATCTTAACTCCAAACTTTTAAACAGTAGTGCATATATAGAAAAATCTCAAATAGAATTGTAATAAAAGTGCCCTTACCCGCAGTCTGGAGCAGGGCACCAGCGGCAGTCAGGGTCGGCCACCAGCCAGCGGCGCAGCATGAACTCCTCATATTTCTCCATGAGCACACGGTCGTTGAGTATCATGCGGATGTCGTGGGGGTTGAAGCGCTCGGAGCACTCTGGGCAGCTGATGTTGACCCTGCTCTCAGAGATCTCGATGCGCAGATACTGTCGGAGGCAGTCGGCACAAGAGCGGTGGTGGCATGTCATGATGTCAGGGAAGCGGTCTCTGGTGTGGCGCAGCAGGCACAGCGGGCACTCCAGCAGTTCAGAGGTGGAGGCTGAGGATGAGGATGAGG